AGATGAAAGAATTGTGTGAAACCCTGCATTTTTTACAGTTTACACTGTTTGTTCAAACTACTTACTTAAAATGAGTTAAAACTACAATTCTTAAGTTTTTTTGGGGACAACTTAATTGTTTTTACAAAATTGAGTGGATTGAACATAAAATAATTAAGTTAACTTGTGATTTGTGTTAGGATAACATGGAAGAATGGTGTGAAACCCTGCTTTTTTACAGTGTACACTGTTACAACTACTTATCTAAAATGAGTTGAATCAACAAAAACCTTGTGTTTTTTATGGACAACTCCTCTGTTTTATGTTCAGTCCACTTAAATTTGTAAAAACAATTCAGTTAACTTGTGATTTGTGTTAGGACAACATGGAAGAATGGTGTGAAACCCTGCTTTTTTAACAGAGTACACTGTTTGTTCAAACTACTTATTTAAAATAAGTTGAAACAGCAATTCTTGAGATTTTTGGGACAACAATTGCTTTATGTTCAATCCACTTAAATTAGTAAAAAAAAAAACTGTAATTTGTGTTGGGACAACAAGAAAGATTTGTGTGAAACCCTGTATTTTGTACAGTGTACACTCAAAAAATTAAGTTTACTGTTTGTTTAGGCTACTTATTTAAAATTAATAGATTTTTTTTGGGACTTAATTGTTTTATGTTTAATCCACTTAAATTTGTAAAAAAAAAATAAAAAAAAAAAACTTGTGATTTGTGTTGGGAAAACATGAAAGAAGGGTGTGAAACCCTACTTCTTTTTTTTTTTACAGTGTACACTCTAAAAATTGCTGTTTGTTCAAACTACTTATGTAAAATGAGTTGAGTTTTTTGGGACAATTTAATTGCTTTATGTTTAAATTTGTAAGCTAACTTAATTCCTTCATGTTGTCCCAACACAAATCTATTGTGTTCAATATTTTTTAGAGTATTTAGGTTTCTTGAACACAAAAGTAGATATTTCAGTCATTCATTTTCCTTCAGCTTAGTCCCTTGTTTATCAAGGGCCGCCACAGCGGAACGAACCGCCAACTATTCCAGCAAATGTTTTACACAGAGGATGCTCTTTCAGCCACAACCCAGCACTGGGAAATATTTTAGTCAATTATTTTGTTGACTCAGTGGTTAGCACTGTGGCCTCACAGCAAGAAGGTCGCTGTTTCGAGTCCTAGCTGGGCCAGTTGGCATTTCTGTGTGAAAACAGATTTATTAAACAGATATATTTATTAAAATAACATTTTAGTCACCAAACATATTTAGAAACTGAAAGATAATACAATTAAATTCAAGCAAAATATTGGCTCAGTGGTTAGCACTGTCGCCTAACAGCAAGAAAGTTGTTGGTTTGAGTCCTGGCTGGGCCAGGTGGAGTTTGCATGTTCTCCCCGTGTTAGCGTGGGTTTTCTCCAGGTGCTCTGGTTTCCACCACAGTCCAAGCACATGCGCTATAGGGGAATTGATGAACTGAATTGTCTGAAGCGTATGAGTGTGTGTGTGTGTGTGAATGAGTGTGTATGGGAGTTTCCAAGTACTGGACTGCAGCTGGAACGGCATCCGCAGTTTAAAACATACGCTGGGTAAGTTGGCGGTTCATTCCGCTGTGGTGAGCCCTGATGAATAAGGAACTAAGCCGAAGAAAATGAATGTAATTAAACATTAAGGGTTTTGTTTTTAAGACTTTTACAGGAGAATAAATAAGGTAATATTTGTGTGAACTACCCCTTTAAGAGTCATTTTAACATCAACATCTTGTAAAACTTAAAAAAAAAACATAAGTTGGACTTGAAAACATATCTTCATGACTTACTGATCAGATCATTTTTCACAGATAAAATTAAATACACCCTTTGCGTTGCTTTTTAAAGTAAAGCTAACTAATAAATTACCTGCATCTTTGATGCGCTAGTAGTCTTAAATAATCAATTACATCTAATTAAATAAATAATCAATAAAGAAAACGACACAAACTATGCATACTAGTCATAAATAAATACGTCTGATGCTGTCCAACATGCAAGTAAATGTAAACTTTGGCAAGCTAACGGGGAAAACAGGGATTTGGCAATTAAATTAAGCTCAATCATAACAAGAATAAATTACATAAATAAATCACATATTGCAAAATAAAACCATCATCGTCGTACAGAGGCGTTAAGTACTAAGACAAGCAAAGGAAAGCTGCGATCAACGTCTTTGGACTAGAAGCTTTTAAAGAGAGAAACCTAAAGGATAAAGCTATTCGACCTACAGTCTGCAGTTTCCTCTCTAGTGTTTTTTTTTTTTTGTGTTTTTCTTTTTATTATTGGCAGATTATTGGCTTTTCAGGTTGGAAATATAGTGTCGTTTTTTGGCGCCAGCTCTCTCAAACATGGGATTTCGGGATGGAGACTAACATAAGAGGAAAACATAATAAAAACGATGCAATTCTTTGGTTTGGTATTGATCTGTTTATGGGATTAAAAGTCAAACTATAGGTGGTTTTATTGGGTTTGCATGTGCGTAAAGGTGTTTATCTTTGGTAAGCCCGTCAGGCTGAGTGACACCTTTAGTTTTAGCTGCAAAAACAGAAGATTTGAAATAAGTAATAAACAATCCCATGTTTGCGGAGGAGGTCGATTGCGGGAAGGGTAATTGCGGCGGGAGTAACTCTTGAATCTTTGGTATTGTAGCTGATGAGGTTTTTGTTGTTCTTTCCATTTTTTTTGGTTTGAAAAAACTGCATAGGCACACATTAAAAGACAATCTTCAGCTTGGTTTTGAGAGACGCATCGTTCTCCGATGTCGCAGGTAAAAGCTCCGTCGCATTAAAACCCTTCCGATCCCATTCTGCTTCCAATGTCTCGATGCAGCAAACGCGGACAAATCCTCCGCGTCACCTGCTGCAGGTTTAGTGTTTGGGTTGTTTCGCTTCCTCTTTGTTGTCCTTTTGCGTAGGTGCAGAAAAGTTTCTTTGGTGTCGATTTGTCAATAAATAGAAAAAGTCTTTCAGTGTCCGTGTTTTTTGTTTTTTTTAGGGGGGGGGTGATCCGTGCTAGAGAATATCTGCTTACCGGCTCAATATATTGGAGATTTGGGAGAGTGGCACTGGTGTGGAGATTGTCCTCTTAAACTCTTTTTAAAGGCCCTGATCACCAGTGCCGAAGTCTGAGAAAAGTGTGTGTGTGTGGGCTTGTTTTTATATCCTAGTGGGGACTTAAAGAGACAGTTCGCTCAAAAATGTGGTTATATTGACTGATCAGTCACTTGTTTAATACTGAACATTGAAAACCATTCGACTTCCATTGTATTTTTTCTTCATACTATTGAAGTCAGTGGCGTTCAGAACTACTTAGAGGTCCAGTGAAAGTCCTTGAAATGTGTATTTTTTTCAGTCGATGTTTGACGTAATCTCAACTGAAACATGAAGAGAGGGCGGGGCAATTAGGTAGCTCCTCCCCTTTAATATAAAAACAACCAATAGAGTTTGGTTTTTTCGCACAGCTTTGCCTGTGAGAGTGTATCAGCTCAAGCGATTCAAATAACCAGCCAATGAGAAGAAGGGGGCGGGGCGTGTGAGAAACTAGAGAGCATTTTGATTGGTCAGGAGATCTGATGACAACAAAAAATAATCGTTGATCCATTTAAGCGACAAACTTTGAACGTTTATATCAGGTTTATATCATATAAACATAAATTTTGTCGCTTTTTAAAGCACAATTGCTTTATGCTAACATATCAAAAAAATTATTTTAATTTCACGGGACCTTTAAGTTAAAATTATAACCGTTTTTATATACATCAACATTTTTGAGTGTACTGTCACTTTAAATCTGAACACACGCAGACTTGTGGGGACCTAAATTGAGGTCTTTATGATGTAAGCACGCTTCTATATTACCCATAATTATGTATCTCTGCAATTAAATAAAAAACAAATGCAGATTATTACTTCGTTTTATGAGTGTTGGCTAAATTTAAACTTTAATGTAGTGGCTTATTTGTATGATGTCATTCATAAATTGTATTACGATTTGCTCATCCACCAATGAGGTGAGTTTAGGGGCGTGGTTTTGGTGCCAAAAATTTCACACAAATCAGCCACTAAACACAAAATAGTCACATTTCTTTGTGAGATTCAGCGTGAATGTACAATATAAACATCATTACGTCAATATGAAGTCCCCATAAGGATAGCAAACCTCTCTCTGTGTCTGTGTGTGTGTGAGTGTGTTGTGCATTGGTCGAGTGTGTGGTACAGACAGAATCTTGCGAGTTGTATGTTCTTCGGTTGTATCATCCTGAGTTATTTTGAACCGTTGAAGAACACTGGGTGTGGTCCAGCCCTGCTCTATTGCCAATGTCATGTGCTTCAGGATTGTGCTCACAAAACCCGGACGGAATATAACGCGGTGGGAAATCAGTGTGTGTGTTGTGCTTTGTGCTTCTGATGTTCAGAGGCACATCAGTGCGTTTGAGGGAAAACGGCAATCCAATGCAAAAGCTTACGTCGCTTTTATGGGTGAATCTCACACAATATGCCATATGCAAAACGCATGCATGGGGTGTTTAATGAGAATTGATTTCTACTGTCATAATGCAGGAATGAATAAATAAAGCTCATTTTCGGAGATTCCTATGAGAATGTATGTTGTTTTAGTAATTATTTAAAAAAATAAAAATAAATAAAATAAAATTTATATATATATATATATATATATATATATATATATATATATATATATATATATATATATATATATATATATGTATATATATATATATATATATATAAAAGAATGATTATTATTATTATTTTATAAAAATTTTAAAATAATCTTTCTTATTATTTTTGCTTTTTGTTGTTGTAAATTTCTTAATGCATCAGATAAAAAGCACACAAAAAAGTGATTTATTTTGTTTTGAGTTGCAGGAATTAATAATAAATAATAATTATTTTTAATAATAATTATTATTTAATATTATTACATATTTATTATTTAAATTTGTAAAAACTCTTTAATCAAAGAGACGACTTAAGATAACAAATAAACTCATATATCTGTAAAAGGTATTAAAAATAACACATTTTGTAATTATGTAAATACGTAATGAGTTAAATATTTTAATTTCAAGCATTAACTCACTTCATTTTGACGCATTTTCTTCCACAAATAAAACTATATATCATAATGAAGTGAGCTTATGTTTAAAACCGATTCATTTTCGCTTAGAATCAAATTTTGATAAAATTTTAAAAAATTAAATTGTTAAAAAAAAAAATTAAATGTTAAAATAAAAATTGAGTAAGCCCAAATTTCACCTGGAATCAAGTGTATTTTTTTTCTCTCATTTAAAATACAAACTAAAGTGCCACTTTAAATGATTTTACCAAAATAAATAAATAAAGGATCATGCTTTTCAAGCAAATGCATATTGCTTTTAAATCATCAGTCCTGCAACCCAATAGAAGAACACAGAGAAATCAATCATCTATGATCTGGTTGTATGTGTGAGATTCACCCTTCACACACACACTCAAAAAATTCCCCTTCATCTCTTTATATCAGAGCTGATTTTAAAGACGTGAAGCTGAACAGAAAGCATATGTGCGTGTGTGATTTTTAAGGGGGTGTTTGTGAGCCGGTAAGCAGAGCGTCTCTCCGCTTTTAAGGAATGATGATTTCTCCTGCACTGTAAAAAATATCCGTAAATTAGCAGCTTTCTGTATTTTGTGATTCAGGTTTCTATATTTCCCCATTCATGTTGGCTGTTGGATTGCATTATGGGAGCTTGATCTTTAGGGTTGTTAAACAAATGTGGGTCAAATCTGGACAAACCCAAATAGGGTAGAGAGTGTCATGTAAATTTAATTTTAATAATTAACCTCAAAAGTTGGGTTTGTCCATATTTAATCCAAATAACAACCCAACTTTTTTTGTGAGCACTCCAAAACATTTGCTGGTTTATTTCAACAAAGTTTGGGTGAAAAAAAACAACAACTGCTGGGTTATTTAATTCAACAAATACCCTAAATGTAACCTGATGGTTGAGTTTGTCCATGTTTGGATTAACGTTGGGTTATAACTCATAATTATTTAGAGTATAGCCCAGATTTAACCCAATGGTTGGGTTTGTTCATATTTGGGCCAACGCTGGGTTATAGCTCAATAGTGTTGTTACACAAATTTGGGTCAAATATGGAACTAACCTAATTAGGGTTGAGAGTGTAAAATGTAAATTTAATTGGAATAATTAACCTCAATGTTGGGTTTGTCCATATTTGATCCAAATAACAACCCAGAGTGCATTTTTAGTGTGCACTCTAAAACATTTGCTGGGTTATTTCAACCAAGATTCAATGAAGAACTGCTGGGTTCATTTATTAATATATACCCTAAATTTGACCTTGATGTCTGGGTTTGTCCATGTTTGGACCAACGTTGGGTTATAACTCATAATCATATAGAGCATAGCCCAGATTTAACCCAACGGTTGACTTTGTCACACATTTGACTTGACCAAAAACATTTTTGTCCAATTTGACCCACATTTGGGTTGAAATAACCCAGCATTGATTAGAATGTTGAAACACAAATTTGGGTCAAATATTAACCACTGGGTTTAAAAGTGTCATTTAAATTTAATTGACGCTTTCCCAGTCAAAACGACAATTTTTTACAATTCAATTTAGAGCCTTAATTTAACCCAGGGGTTGGGTCTGTCCATATTTGGACCAACATTGAGTAATAACTCATAATTATTAAGAGTATAGCCCAAATTTAACCCAACGGTTGGGTGTGTTCATATTTGGACCAACATTGGGTTATAACTCATAATTTAGAGTATAACCTAATGGTTGGGTGTGTTCATGTTTGGACTAACGTTGGGTTATAACTCATAATTATTTAGTGTATAACCCAATGGTTGGGTTTGTTCATATTTGGACCAACACTGGGTTATAAATCATAATAATTTAGTGTATAACCCAATGGTTGGGTGTGTTCATATTTGGACCAACATTGGGTTATAACTCATAATAATTTAGTGTATAACCCAATGGTTGGGTTTGTTCATATTTGGACCAACATTGGCTTATAACTCATAATTATTAAAAGTATAGCCTAAATTTAACCCAACGGTTGGGTTTGTTAATATTTGGACCAACGTTGGGTTATAACTCATAATTATTTAGTGTATAACCCAATGGTTGGGTTTGTTCATATTTGGACGAACATTGGGTTATAACTCATAATTATTAAAGTATAGCTACTCTATACTTTTTAAATCTATATTTTACCCACATTTGAGTTGAAATGACCCGGTATTGTTAAAAGTGTTGCAATGCAAATTTGGGTCAAATATGGACAAACTTAAAAGTCTCATTTAAATTTAATTGAAAAACCAAAAGGTTTCCCAATCAAAATGACATCAAAACTGTGAACTGCTGGGTTATTTTATGGCCTAAATGTAACCCAGTGGTTGAGTTCGTCCATATCTGAACCACATTTGATTTGAATTGGGAAACACCTAAGGCTGACGGATCAAAGCTCCATAAAGGAATTCTCCAGCGTTCATAAAGGGGAAACCCACAACATACGGAAAGTGTTGATTGGCAGGTATTTTTTACAGTGTGTGGATCACGCTTTGGTGCAAGTGCTGGAGGAGCTGTTGTTGGGACTGCCCTCGTCCAGCCATTTATCCAGGCTGCGTCTGCGGGCGTTCATGAAGAAGTTGCTGACCGTGCTCAGCTCCAGTCCCAGCTGCTGAGAGATGGTCATCTGCATCTCTTTGGATGGACGCTTGTTCTCCTTAAAGATGGCCAGAAGAGTTCGCCGCTGCAGGTCCGTGAAAACCAGACGCGACTTCTTTGGTGTATTGCTCCTGTCTTTGCTCGGGTCCTGCTCTTTTCTTTTGCACGCTTCGGGGGTTTCGTTTGTTGGAAAGGAGACACAAGAGAAACACAAGAAACACGTTAGAATCCAGCACACAGTTAAAGCACACATGACATCAAAACTCACCATACTGACTTTGTCAGCTCACATTGCTGGTTGAGCGCTGAACAATTCAACTGTGCATGTCATAAAGACAACAAAATAGTTTACTCTCTTTAACAGAGAACTAAAAATGCACTTCCTGATTGTTTTCAATTCAATTATCAGATTAGGTCTGTGGTGTTGGGCGTGGCCAAAGAGCTTAGAATGACCAGGTGACACTCAACAGAGCGTTCCATTGCAACAGCAGCGCCCAGCAACTGGATTCCGCCTCTGGAGTGAAAGTAATCGGCTGTCCATTGGATCTTATTCCTGTCGCGATGGCAAGCAGCTGCTTTATTTCCTATTTATTTATTTAAAAAGAGCATTAAAGCTGAGATACAACCTGAAAGACGACAATACAACACTTACTATCACAATCATCAGCACTTTTAATAGTTAATTTAACAGCCTTATAATATGTTGTTGTTCTATTGAAATGTTCATTCCAAAGAGGCCACCGCGCCATCTAGTGGCTGTTTCCCAAATCGCACTAGAGTGTCGCCTCTTGGTGATTCTATGCTCTTTCGCATGTATAACATAACCACACCCCTCCAACTGTCAGTTTTGACATCACTACGACAACAAACAGAAATGGTGAAGAGGAGTGGTTGTGTTTGTCCAAATTAAACACAACGTTGGGTTATAATAACCCAGTTTTTTTAACTACAGCCCATATTTAACCCAATGGGGGGCAGTATTTTACCCACATTTGAATTGAAATAACCTAGCATTTTAAAAGAGTATGCATGCAGGAAACACCATTACACACACACAAACACACCCAAAATGCTGGGTTGTTGCAAACAAACGTTGGGTCGTATGGACAAACTCAACTTTTGGGTTAATTTTTTTAATTAAACTTAGATGATACTTTTTAACCTTTTTACAAAGGTTGGGTTTGTCCATATTTAACCCATTGGGTTACAACAACAACAACAACCCAGTGTGTGCATGCAGAAAACACATTCACCATTGCACCACATACAGTACAGTCACAGAAACAAATGGCTTTTACAGGCATATTTTTATTCAATTATTCATTCATTTTCCTTCGGTTTGGTCCCTTAATTTATCAGGGCTCGCCACTGCGGAATGAACCGCCAACTATTCCAGCATATGTTTTACACAGCGGATGCCCTTTTGGACTGTGGGGGAAACCGGAGCACCCGGAGGAAACCCACGCCAACACGAACATGCAAACTCCACACAGAAACGCCAACTGGCACAGCTGGGACTCGAACCAGCGACCTTCTTGCTGTGAGGCCACAGTGATAACAACTGAGCCACTGTGCCGCTCCACATGGAATCTGCGCCCGCAGAATTCTGCTGATTTCCCGCAGATTGTTAGCCCTTCATTAATTCTGTTTATTTACTTGAGTAAATGTGTGTAAATATATTTTTATTTAGTTTTTAAATTAATTACAGTAATATTATTGACTAATATGAAAATGTTCATCTGATTTATGTACAATGCAGTTTGTAGAGTAATATTTTCTGTCTTTTAGTAGAGATATTATATGAGAGACTTGCTTTGTTTACCAAATAAAGTGGATCTAATTGGATTTGCATTTCAAACATTAAATAAAGGTCAAAAATGTATTATTTTTATTTCACATATTAAGGTTTTAGTTATGACACTCCCAAAATAATTCCGCAGAAATCTGCAGATTTATACCAAAATTCTCTGCAGAAATAGCAAAAAACGTCCGCAGATTCCGTCTGGCCCTATCCATCAGTCACACATTCATTCATTCATTTTCATTTCGGCTTAGTCTCTTTATTAATCCGGGGTCGCCACAGCGGAATGAACCGCCAACTTATCCAGCACATGTTTTACACAGCGGATGCCCTTCTAGCTGCAACCCAGTACTGGGAAACATCCATACACACATTTACACAGCCGGGGCTCAAACCAGCGACCTTCTTGCTGTGAGGCGATTGTGCTACTTCCTGCGCTGCGCCACCGTGCAGCCATCAATCACACATACACATACACACACACACACACACACACACACACTCACCAGGTATTGTGTGTGTGTGTGTGTTTGTGTCTCAAGATTTGATTTGATTACTCCTCTGAATTAAGTATGCACAACTGAGCCTGGGCCAGATCAATAGAAATCAGGTTAAGAGCTCAACTGAGTACAAAACTATTATGTAAGAGGAAACGGCGGTGTAAATAAGGCACACACACACACACACACACACACACACTTACACGCTCATTGTGACACATACATAGGTACCCACACACCATTACACAAACACACACACACACGCACACACACACTTCTGCTGCATTTACACTCTCATTGTGACACATACACAGTTACGCACACACCATTACACATATACACACGCACACACACACACACACACTTACACGCTCATTGTGACACATACACAGGTACGCACACACCATTACACAAACACACACACACACACTTCTGCTGCATTTACACCCTCATTGTGACACATACACAGTTACGCACACACCATTACACATATACACGCACACACACACACGCACGCACACACACTTCTACTGCATTTACACCCTCATTGTGACACATACACAGATACGCACACACCATTACACACACACACACACACACACACACACACACACACACACACTTCTGCTGCATTTACACCCTCATTGTGACACGCACAGTCACGCACACACCATTACACATGCACACACACATGCATGCACGCGCACACACACACACTTCTGCATTTACACCCTCATTGTGACACACACAGTCACACACACACCATTACACATTCACACACACATGCACACACATGCACACACACACACACACACATGCACACACACACACACACACACACTTCTGCTGCATAACTGCAAAAAAAAAAAAATACATGATTTATGAAAATGAATAAACCTGGTGATTTTAGTATTTTTTTAGAAATCGTGATTTTACATTGAGTCTTGCAAAAAATAGTTGCTTTATTTATTAAGTAAAATTATGTGAACAAACATTTTAAAGGTTTGCACAGAAATGTCATGCTCCCTTGTAAAAGTGTTTTGTAGTATCTTCAAAATACAGTACAGTATTATATACAAAAGTATATAAAAAAGTATATAAAATAAAGTATATTTATACAAAATACAGTATTTTATTGTGATACGTTAGTGGCTGCTGTATTTTGTAGTTTCTTTTGGTACAATTAAAACAGAGATATTTTGTATTTTACTTTAAAATACATTTCAGTGTATTTTTGCACATCCCTGCACACACACACACACACACACACACACACACACACACACACACACACACACACACACACACACACACACACACACACACACGGACACACGCATCACTTCTGCTGCATTCAGTGTCATTACCGTTTTTTTCCAACTGCTTACACACAACATCTTTTCTTGTCACACGATTTCTGAAACATCTCACTCAAAATGCAAAACTTTTCTTCTGGAGAAAGTCTTATTTGTTTCATTTCGGCTAGAATAAAAGCAGTTCTTAATTTTTTAAACACCATTTTAAGGTTAATATTATTAGCCCCTTTAAGCTTTTTTCCCGATAGTCTACAGAACAAACCATCATTATACAATAACTTGCCTAATAACCCTAACCTGCCTTGTTACCCTAATTAACCTAGTTAAACCTTTAAATGTCACTTTAAGCTGTATAGAAGTGTCTTGAAGAATATCTAGTCTAATATCATTTACTTTCATCATGACAAAGAGAAAATAAATCTGTTATTAGAGATGAGTTATTACATTTACATTTAGTCATTTAGCAGACGCTTTTATCCAAAGCGACTTACAAATGAGGACAAGGAAGCAATTTACACAACCAAGAGCAACAATGAATAAGTGCTGTAGGCAAGTTTCAGGTCTGTAAAGTCTAAGAAGGGAAGTATTAGTAGTATTAGTATTTATTTTATTTTTTGGGTACAGTTAGTGTGATATTCAGAGAGGCAATTGCAGATTAGGAAGTGTAGTGGAGACTAAATAGTTGCGATTTTAGTCGTTTCTTGAAAATAGCGAGTGACTCTGCTGTTCTGATGCAGTTAGGGAGTTCATTCCACCAACTGGGCAGATTGAGCGTGAGCGTGAGCGAAAGTGATTTCTTCCCTCTTTGGGACAAGTGGTGCTCGCTGCAGAGCCATTTGAGGAGAGCTGAGCTCCAGCGAGGGGGAGCTTAAAGGGCCATGAAACCTCCTCGTTTCAGCAGGGTGTTTTCACACCTCTACTTTGGAAAAAGTCAGAAAAGTGGGCGTGTCCAGCTCTGTTTAGGGGGGAGTGTCGGAGGAACTAAAGTGGGATGGTGTGGGAGTGTCTATTTGGGCACGCGCGAGTTTCAGAGTCAAAATAAATAAATAAATAAATAAATAAATAAATAAATAAATGTGTGTGTGTGTGTATATATATATATATATATATATATATATATATATATATATATATATATATATATATATATATATATATATATATATATACACACACACACACACACACACACACACACACACACACACACACACACACACACACACACACACACACACAGGAGAAAGTGATGGTGTTTAACCTACATGGACATCTGTAGTCGAATTATTTGCCAAATTATTAAATGGTGGACTTTAACTGCAGTTTGGCTCTTTCATTCAGGGAATTCATTCATGCCCCACGCGACAAACGATATATTTGATTGGAGGAACTGCTCTAAGCGTGTATTTTTCATGCAATGTTTGACGCCGCACGGTGAATGAGAGAAAAAAAAACTCAGCATTTCCCAGAAACTTAGTGGTAGTGTCAGAAAGCCGCGCGTGTTATTCCGGTCACTAAATGCGGTAAAAACCCTACACGAGGTTATAGTTT